AGTGAGCTCACACATACGTACAGACTAGGAAGTGAGCTCACACATACAGACTAGGAAGGTTTAGTGTGCAGTCAGCGCTCACGTAATGTGCTTCTTTTGTGTTACAGATCCTTGTTTAACCCGCTCACCCTCTCACTTCCTGTCTGTCTACTCACGTGTCTGCCGCCCCTTCATTGTCTTTCTGTCGTCTGTCTATCTGCCTGCCCTGCCCGTTTGTCCGTTTATCCGTGGGTCTGCTTGGCGTCGAGGAAACCCTAGTGACTGTTGCTGGCTGTGGGGAAGCTGAGGGCAGGCGAGGGAGGACAGGCAGAGCTGTCCAGACATGACCCTGCCGCTAGACCCCTTGGCAGGCCTTTCCCAGCTCCTGCTCCTGTGGGTACCGTAGCCTGGATCCCAAGACTAGCCACTTTGAGTTGTAAGTTGCAGAAGTGGCTTTGTCCTTCATCAGCACACCTGTCTGTGACACTGAGAACCGTGCTTAACCCCCAATAAGTACCGTTCTCTGCCCTCGGTTCCTCTCGCCCGCTGTGAGAAGTTGTTTTTCTGCGGGGGACAGCTGCTCTTCCTGGGGGTCCTGCTGAGAGCAGGCAGCTCAGGTTGTCGTTCCCTGAGAGGATTGGGCAGGGCCGAGGAGGGGCTGGGCGGGGCTGAGAGGAACCAGGGCGGACTGGGCGGGGGCAAGGAGGGGCTGGGCGGGGCTGAGGCGAGGATGGACTGAAGCTTCTTAAGGAAAGGATTTCTGTGATTTCCGCTCTGCTGTCCCCTCCCACCCCCCTCCCTTCAGTTCGCCTTGGCATTTGTTCGGCAATTACTCTGGCAAACTCCTCTGTGTCCCCCTGCCTTTTCAATGAGTGTGCAGACTGATCTTATTTCATACTGATTTTAAGGGTTCTGTGAGATCTTCGTCCGTTGTATGTGGGAGCTGCCGTGCATTCTCCCTGAGAAGCTGCCCCACCTCCTCTGGAAGCCAGCATTGCCACGGGAGGGGCTTCGCAGCCTTAGGAGCTCGGCCCTAAAGCTTAGGGCTCTGGGGCAGACCGGGTGGTTTAAAGTGATGTGGCTGTGGTCCTTACTGTCCACCCTATGCGGGTCCCTTCCTCTAGAGCAGTTACCGTGGTGGCATCCTTGGGGTTCCCCTGGCGCCTGTTCAGTGCCTGGCCCCTTGCAGATGTGTAGAGACGGGCAGCCAACACTAGTGAAGGTTTTATATTGGCCACTGCAGCAACAGCCGCACTGAGCCCCATGGCACTGTTTACAGAGGGCCCTGGGCAGCCCTTGTATCCAGCTCTTCCCTCCTCTCCCTCTCCCCTGCCTTCTCCTCCTTCCCACCCTTCCTGCCCCTCCTTCATCTTCCTCCTACTCCCCACCCCAATCATCTTTCCCACCTCCCTGGCCTCTCTGAGAAAATGCAGTCAGGCACAGCATCCTAGGGCTCTGAGCCCCACTTTCAAGGAGAGTTTGGGGACAGGAGCTCGTTGTTCTGTTTGTTGTTGCTGCTGTTGTTGTTATTGTCAGTTTGACACAAACTAGAGTCATCTGGGAAGAACCAGCCTTTGTTGAGCAATGCCTGCGTCAGCTTGGCCTGTGGACAAGTCTGGGGGCATTTTCATGATTACTGATTGACGAAGGAGGGTGCAGCTCGCCTCAGACAGTGTTACCCCTGGGCATATGATTCTGGATTGTTTATAAAGCAAACTGAACAAAACACAGCCAACAGCTAGGAGGGAGCACTCCTCCATGGTCTCCAGATTCCTGTCCTCACTTCCCTGCTGGACTGCAGTGTGGAAGTGTGAGCCACCGAATCCTGTCCTCCAGATTCCTGTCCTCACTCCCCTGCTGGACTGCAGTGTGGAAGGGGAGCCACTGAATCCTGTCCTCCAGACTCCTGTCCTCACTCCCCTGCTGGACTGCAGTGTGGAAGTGTGAGCCACCAAATCCTGTCCTGCAGGTCGCTTTTAAGTAGAGTTTTCTCACAGCAATAGGGAAGCAAATTCAAACAGGTTTCTCCGGACTTTTGGTTTTCGCCCCCTGGGAGCTCTGCAAATGCCCTGATGTGAGAGCCATCATCAGGCTGGACCCGCTGCCAACCAAGGCTGAGCAGATTGTCCAACCCTTGTCCTGGGAGAAACAGAGGTGGCGTTGGAGGCACAGTCTTATGATATGGAGGTTCAGATTTCAGAACTGGTCAGTGTGTGGCTGGCAGGAGGGCCAGGAACTGAGGTGGGGATTATTTGGTGGCAGGTGTGACAGGGTGGCCGCAGCCTGGCTGACTGACTGGTCCTCCATCACCGAGGAGGATGAGGAGATGCCAGGGAGCCCGGGATCTGGGTCCTTAACATGATGAGAGCCTCTAGCACATAAGACGTTCTGTGGACCAATGAGGCAGAGACCAAGGGAGCCGCTCAGGGCCACAGCCTGATTCTCGGGCTCAGTCCCAGCTTGACTGACCCAGGTGCCTCCATAGGAACCTGGGCAGACTAAGCTCCTAGGAGGAAGGGAAGGCGGGCAGGCTGATTTCTAATGCTTTCTGTAGTACTGGTGTGTGCTCTGTGAGTGAGCCACACCACCAGCCCAGGGTCCATGAGGATGGGTCCTTCCTGCATCGCCTCCCGCAAGCCTGAGCCTATGGAAAGACGGCTTTGCCAAGGCTGCCCACCTTGCAGACATCGCTTCTGATTTGTATTCCTTGACTCAGCATTAACAGCTGTCAGTGTATAAAGTGAGGACAGGACCCCTCCAAGGTGTGGAAGGGAAGGTTTTTGTCATAGATAGGAGGAGAATACAGCCAGAGGCATCTGGTAGAAGAATCCAGAACAGGGAGAGAAAGTATTGGACTGAGCGTGGCCAGCGGACTGGACGTGGCTGGGGGTGGAAGAGGAGGAGAGGACATGAGAGGGGCAAGGCAGAGGAAGACACAGGAGCCCGCGTGGCCTAGATGGCAGGGTTCTGTAGGGCTGAGAAGCTGCAGGAAGGGAAGGCTGTGAGCTGGAGAAGTTTAAGTGCAGGGGTCCAGGAGAGAAGAGCTGAGAGGAGCCAGGATGCCAGCATGAACTCTAACAGGTACTTGCAACGGAGGCCACTGTGTGCTTTGGCGCGTTGATAGGCGCCGCAAACAGACATTTGTCCCGAGTGTCTTTTGAACCTGACAGTTGGTAGGCTGGTTTTCTTTCTTTTGGGGGTTCGTGCACGGAGGAGACATGAATAGAGCCAAGCAGGCCTTGTAGCCAGGCTGGAAGTTTCCTGTTCTCACCTCCTTCCCAGGCCTGTGATTGGCAGTCAGGCTGCAGGATGGGAGGGCCCGGTGGGGCTGTGAGGGTGATGCTGCAGCGCCACCTAGTGGATCCAGGAAGCACTACAGCAGCATCCTGACCTCCCACACTCTGCTTCTCTAAGAAGGGCTCTGTTGGGAGGCAGTGACCATAGATGTGCAGAATGCAGGGAGCTTTCCTTACACCCCTTCTCGAATTGGCCTCCTGGACATTCCGGGTGCTGGAGCCCATACTGGAAGTCCTGGAAAGGACCTGGAAAGGTCCTGGAAAGGAGGGTGACAAAGTCAAGTGACCTCGTCTTTCTTGTTTACGTTCCCTGGGAAGGATGGTGGTGACCCTGGCTCCATCATGGCCCAGACTTTCCCTTGTCTATTGGTGGTGTGCTCTGCCTGTCTCTGAATTTCTGGATGTCACTGCAGAAGTGCTGACTGATGCCTTCCCTATCCCAGAGGCTCTGACATTTCTTCCGTGCTCATGGTGGTGATCAGTTTAGGATCTGTTCGCTCAGGACACCCTGGGTCACAGAAGCACGCTTACCTGGGCCATTCACGATGTGTCATGTGTGGTGTGGTGCTTCCCTGCAGTGAGTGAGTACAGCCCAGCGGGTTAGGGAGCCGAGGGAAGCTGTGAACAGCACGCAGCCTGGATTCCTTCCTCAGGGACAGACACCTTCAAGCCCTTTCTTCTCTCAGCTCCGCTGGGCCAGAGAAGCTGGGAGAAATGAAGAGGACACAGCTTTGACAGCCTCGAGCCGGGGTTAGCAGAGGGCAAACATTTGAGGTGTGCAGCTCAAGTGCACGGTGCTACTGCTGCTCAGAGGCTGGGCTGGCAGGGCAGCGGGGCCGGCTGGCAGAGCAGGATGGATTCCCGGGTGGCGGTGGCTCGCAGACCCCCAGCCAGATGTGAAGGGCACATCTATAGCTGGCACCCATTCCTTTTCTTTATCCAAATGCCGGACAACAGTACTCTGACGGGGAGGAAGGGTTGGTTCTGGCTCACGGTTCGCGAGGTGCAGTCTGTTGCGGTCAGGAGGGCATGGCGGTGGTGCTGGAAGCACATGACTGGCTGTTCACATTCACTGGTTCAGGCCACCAGCTGGCTTTCTCCTGTTCCTGTTTATTGAGCCAGGACCCTTCCTGGTGGAATAGTGCTGCCTACATTCAGGGGGGATCATCCCCCCTGAGGTAATCTTTTCTGGAAACATCCTCACCGTAGGAAGGCCTCACTGATGCCCCAGGCTCTGCTAACCCAGTCAACCTGGCCAAATGAACCATCCCAGACCCCACACTTAACAAGAGGGAAATCTGTGTTGGAGCCAGATGAGGTTCTAGCCCCAGCCACTTGACTCCGAAGCCACAGTCACGTGCCTGGCGACAAGATGACCGAGCGCATCATCCTCAGCTGTGCCTCACCTGGCTCCCCACGCCCTCTGCAGAACCGTGACACAGGCATTTAGGAAGCTGCCTGGCATCGCATGCAGCTGGCCTGGGTGGCAGCGTGGCTTTCAGGGCGAGTCACCCTGATTTCTGTGGCCAGCACAGCTCTGTCCCAGGAATCTTGCTTTGGGGCTGGGAGTGCACCAAGCAGCCCTTGCAAGCTTTTTTTCCCTGGCTGTCTGTGTTGGAATTCTCACACAGGTACAGTTTATATCCAGACACTCCATGCATGGGATGTGTAGTATTGAGTACCTTTTAGTATGGTTTGGGATTGGGCCATCGCTTTCACGGTGTTAGGGCATTTTTAGTGTCCCCACAGAGAAACTACATAGCCTTTAGTCACCCCCAAATCTGCCCTGCAGGATGGCTGCATACTGCCTTTGTTCTAGGGCCTCTGAGTTCCTCAGCATCGTTCTGTTTGTTTGGTTTTGGAGACAGGGTTTCTCTGTGTAGCCAGCCCTGGCTGTCCTGTAACTCACTCTGTAGACCAGGCTGGCCTTGAACTCACAAAGAATCCTCTACCTCTGCCTCTGCCTCTGCCTCCCAAGTGCTTGGATTAAAGGCAGGCGCCATCACTACCCTCCGTCTGTATTGTTTTTAAGGCTGATGGCTCACTGTCTGCCTGGGCTGGCAGAGCTGAGCGGGGCTGTTGGGTGTGTGTGCATGGCTTTCTTGGCCCACAGAGTGACTATGGTGCTGAGCAGTGATTTCAAGGTTTGCCCCAGGGCTGGGGACGTGGGCTTAGTCACTGGCAGAGCATTGCAGTGAGGACAAGGACCTAAGTGTGGTCTCCAGACCCTAAAGCTGGGCATGTGACACACACTTGCTGTCTTGGTGCCGGGAAAGCAGAGACAGCAGTTTCCTGGGGTTCCTTGGTTAGCCAGCCTAGCCTGTTCGGGAGAGTTCCAGGTCAGCGAGAGACCCTGGCTCACAAAAGACAGATGACTCCTGCAGGATGACAGCTGAGGAGCCCTCTGGCCTCCACACGCATGCACATGCAGGAATGACAGCTGAGGAGTCCGCTGGCCTCCACACGCATGCGCACGCAGGAATGACAGCTGAGGAGTCCGCTGGCCTCCACACGCATGCACATGCAGGAATGACAGCTGAGGAGCCCTCTGGCCTCCACATGCATGCGCACGCAGGAATGACAGCTGAGGAGCCCGCTGGCCTCCACATGCATGCACACGCAGGAATGATAGCTGAGGAGTCCGCTGGCCTCCATACGCATGCGCCTTCCTCTGCCATGGTCTATGTTCTGAGGTTGCTTTGAAGCCGGACTTAAGTAACATAGACTCGGGTTACGGAGGTTCAGCTCATTCTATGGGTCTCTGTGTTTACAGCTTACACGATGTTGGGTGTGGGGGTGTCCTGCTGTGCAGGTGACCTCCTTTGCTGTTTTGAGAATACTGCCATGGTTCATTCAGCAGAGTGTAGTAAAAATGTAGGTAAACAGTGTAGAGATGAGGACACGGTGCTGCAGCTGCTCAGGGCTTTGTTCTAGTTATAAGATGAACGTCTCCAAATCTGGAATTCAGTTCTTTATCTCAGACTGCATACCCCTTGATGGTAGCTGACTTCCATTGTCCTCCCCATCAAGCTCACACTGGAGGAGAGGCCAGGAAAGGGTGTGGGGGGCCTGAACTCTGCCAGATGCCAGGAGGTTGTTTGTGGCAGGGTCTTCCGTAGCCCAGATTGGCCTCCAGCTCTCCATGCAGTGCAGAATGAGCTAGGTCCTGATTGCCCTTCCTCCACCTCCCAGGCTCTGGGACTGCAGGGACTTAGCACCACGGCCACCACATCCAGTGCATGGGTACCAGGGCCACTCCAGGTCTTCACACATGTTGGGCAGCCGTGCCCACTGAGCAGTCTCGGCCTGCTCATACATACAAGCTGTGGTTGTGCCACAGATGCCAGGTCTGGAGGATTCTGTCAGAGCCTCAGTGATTTAGGACGGGAATCTCGGCCTAAAGCCCCACATTATCACATTACCACCGTAAAGAGGGCTGGGGATGGTGAAGTGCCTCACAGATACTTGTCCTGTTTTGATCTGGGTTGCCAGGAAGCACAGTTCATATCTAGTTATTTAATGGCTATTAGCAAAAGTGAAATTAGATGGTTTTGAACAACAGCTTCACCTGGTACCACTTAATTTTCTCTGAAGTAAAAGAACCTGAAGGCTGGGAGATGGGCTGCCTAAGTGAGCAGACCTGGGTTCAACCCCGAGCACCCACATAAAACATCCAGGGTGCTCGTCTCTGCCTGTAATCCTGGCTCTGAGGGCAGAGGCAAGCAGACCCTTGGAGAGTGCTGGCCAGTCAGGCTAGCTTAGCCTGCGGGGAGCCAGGGAAAAGGGAGAGGGTCTGTCTTAACCACGGCCTCCACCCTTAAGGTCACCATGTGTAATGAAGCTTTGAAAGCTCCCGCCATCCCCAGCAAGTCACAGTCTGTAGCCGTAGGCCACCACTCCTGCCATATTGGCTGAACGCAAGCCTCGTGGTCATGATTTGCTGTGGAGGTGGAAGTGGGTGGCCAAGAAGTCCTTCTGTGAGGTTCCTGGACTGACGGCAGAGTGCAGATTGCGCTGTTTGCTGCGCCACTGCGACCAGGGTTTAAAGCGTGACATAGCCTTCTGCATCCGTGTCTGTTCATCTCTCACATCACGACCTGTTCACGAAAATAGGAATGGTGCTTGCAAAGCATGATGGGTAAGTGGTGGAGGCCATTCATGGCTGGAGGCTGCTTTGGACCCTGGCTGGCACTTTGTATTCTGGCTATAATGTGGGAAAATTCTGGAATCTGGAAGCTCATATTTTATGAGGCAAAGGACAGACAAGGGATACAGCCTCTCCAGGCTGAGGTGCCAGAAGGTTCACAGCCACCACACCCTGGGGCACCAGGACACAGCACAAGACCCACCATGTTGGAGGTGACTGTGGGGCTCCTGGGTGGAGACTTTATCTGTGTGTATTGTGTAAGGGACTCCCAAAGACCCAGAGACCCTGGATATTTGGAAAAAGTTAAAGCCTTGATAGCCTCAAGGCTTTCCAGAGAGGAACAGGGCAGCAGGGTGGTGGTAGGGAGGAGACAGGGGCAGCGGGACTCCAGGAAGCAGGCTCACGCTTGGGGATCACAGAAGGGGCCTGAGCTCCCTCCACTCCTCAGGCCCACAATGGCAGACAGGCTCTAGAGCCCCACTTCCTCCAGCAAACAATCATTTAGGGAATTTGGGTGTCGGTCTCTCTGTAAACTACTTCTTGCTGACTGTTGGGCGAAGTTTCTTTGGGGGTTTTCACTGTGACATTTCAGGGGGTCTTGGTAAATCAAACCACATTAGCTTGAATGATTCCACAGGCTCTCATCTCCCATGGAAACAAAAGCAAAACCTCTTTTCCAAAGCAACATATCCTTAGACCTATATTTTAAAGTCAAAATACTTTTTTTTTTAGCAGTTCCCAGAATCAAATGTCTCTCTCTAGTCAAAAAATTAAACACAATAATACATATAATCCAAATTCTCTGTTCACATTCCATCCTTTTGTGGCTTATAAACTGACTATCCCCTGTCTCTTTAAAGCCTTCCTTAAACACACATAACACACATACCCATCTTTAATCCACCCTCACCGTTCCCGAGGGCGATCTCGCTGAGGGCCTCCACTTGTAAAACTATACCGGTTTCATTCCGTGCTCCACTCACTATGCGCTACGGGAGCTAGGCTGAAAATTTAAAATCATACACACACAGACAGAGACAGACCGACAGACGGAGCCATGGGATTGTCCTTGAGACAATCCCAAGAATGCCCCCTTTACTGTGCTCAGGGGCAGCTTACGTAGGTCTCTGGCCACACCCCAGCTCTCGGGATCTCTCAGCTGCAGACTCCTCAGAACCCGCTCCCCTGCCATCAGGGTCTCCTGCTCAGAGCAGCTGCAGGCTGCTCAGAGCAGAGGAAGATAAGTTGTTTACAAGAAATTCGGGGTTTGGGGGTCCTCAGTCCCCAACTGCGGGGTGATGTCAGGGAGGAGAAAGGCGCTCTCTGGGGCCAGGGTCAACTGCTTCCTGGCTGTGTGACCTGTGCTAGTGTATTCTGCTGTGTTGCAGGGGACAGCAAGAATCTTTACTCTCAGGGCTTTAGACGTGGCTCTGTGGTTAAGAGCACTGGCTGTTCTTCCAGAGGACCTGGGTTCAGTTCCCAGCACCCACATGGCAGCTCACCACCAGTTGTTCCAGGGGAGCTGACTCCCTTTTCTGCCTCCGTGGCACCAGGGATCCATGTGACACACTGAAGCATGATTATTAAAAACTCAGAGAGAGAAACTGGGGCTCAACTGATGATCTGAAAAGCAAAGCAGTCAGCCACTGGCTCTTACCTCTACCTCAGTCTGAAAATGACGATCCAGCCTCCAGGAATCTCAGAACGAGACTGTGTCTGAGAACTGTCTCTTCCCTTTTTATAATCCTCTCTAGGGCTGGGATTAAAGACATGCAACAAGTTTCTATAGCAACTAGTGTGGCTACTAGGGTTAAAGGTGTGTGTTACCACTGCCTGGTCTATAAGGCTGACCAGTGAGGCTGTTCTACTCTCTGATCTTCAGGCAAATTTTATTTATTAAAATACGATTGAAATGCCACTACAACACACACACAGTCAAAACACCCATACATATAAAATAAATAGTTTAAAAATTAAAGAAAGAATTTTGAGTCTTAGAACTGTTGTGGGATCCAGTGAGGCGATAGTGCAGGTGCACACAGTGGCGTTCTGTAAATGCTCGCACACAGCGGCATTCCATAAACGCTTGCACACAGCGGCATTCCATAAACGCTTGCACACAGCGACATTCCATAAATGCTTGCACACAGCGGCATTCCATAAACGCTTGCCCACAGCGTAATTCCATAAACGCTTGCGCACAGTAGCATTTTATAAACACTTACACACAGTGGCGTTCCATAAACGCTTGCACACAGTGGCATTCCATAAACGCTTGCACACAGTGGCATTCCATAAACGCTTGCACACAGTGGTATTCCATAAACGCTTGCACACAGTGGCATTCCATAAACGCTTGCACGCAGTGGCGTTCCATAAACGCTTGCACGCAGTGGCGTTTCAAAACACTTGCCACTGTTGTCATTGACCTTCTGGAAAGTATAGTTGATCCTCTATTGAATTCCTTCAGGCCCGTGAGATTCAGATGGTGTGAAGATGCTCTTGAGATGGGGAAGCTGGAGCAGAATTATGAGGGGAGTAATTGGGGGCTGGAGGTGCCTGGCATGCAGGGCCCCCAAATCCCACCCCAGTAACACAGTGGGGACTGGGGTGCCTGGCATGGAGGGACCCCAAATCCCACCCCAGTAACATGGGCAGGAAAATGATCAGTGTGAGCGTGCAGAGCTAAGCTTCACCACAATGGTGTTTATTGTTCCTGAAGAATGTGTGCAGTCTACAGATTGGACACTCGGATTTACAGAGTCATACGACATGGTAGCCAGAATGCGCACAGATAGGGCGGGCAACCTTCCTGTTGAAGCTGCAGCAGTTCCGGACACACGCAGAGAGCAGGGCCACAGGAAGGCTGTCTTCCAGAAGTCGGTGGGCGGTCCACACCAGGCACCTCTCTTCAAGTAGAGCCCCAAGGGACAGGACTTTCTTTAAATGTCTGTAAGATAGCAGCTATGTTAGCACAGGCCTGGTGTCTCAGCAGGCAGAGACAGGAGTCTCCGGAGTTCAGGGCTGCCTAGCATACATGATAACCTATGTAAAAACAGAACAGTACAGGGACTGGGTGTGGTGACCCACATTGATAATCTCAGCTGTGTAAAAGGCCGAGGTGGGACTATCAAGAATTCCAAGTTGTTCTTTGGTGTGTAGCTGGTCCCAGCTCCCTTGTCACACGTGGGTCTCGTGGGCCCAGTGCGGCGCCAGTCCCGTCCTCGGTGGGAGGGAAGCTGTGATGAGTCTGTGAAGAGTCTAGAACTGGAAGGAAGGATGTGAGGTCCTTGGCTTCATGATGTTCTGTCTATGACAGAAAATGAGGATGTGGAAGGGAATGGATGGGCACCCGTGCAGAAGTCAAGGGCAGGGCCAGAAGAGCGAGCAAGCCCTTGTCTGTTTTGCTGGTGTTAAAGTGCAGAGATGACAAGTAGATCGATGGTGTGCCTGATTGACTGATCGGTAGATAATACATGGATAGAGAATGCTGGATTGACTGATGGGTAGATAATACATGGATAGAGAATGCCGGATTGACTGATCGGTAGGTAATACACGGATAGAGAATGCTGGATTGACTGATGGGTAGATAATACACAGATAGACGATGATGTGCCGGATTGACTGATCGGTAGATAATAC